CCCTCATGCTTCTTTATCTCTTTTACAAGATCCCTCTATACTTATCATACCGTGACACGGCCCCCTCGACGTGACCCTTTGTTGGAAGACTTTGTCTGCTGTCAAAGACTCTTTGAGCTTAGCTGTCAGTCTCTCAAGAATCCACTCACTCTCTTCCTGGCTCCCCATCAACGGGCTATGAGTCCCAACCCAGGACCATTTTAGCTGCTCGTTGTCGTTCAAAACTTGCATCGCAGAGCCTTTCTTGCCCTTGGGTTTTATCCTAACCTTGCGATGCCTGCCGGGATCTCTTTCATCTTCGCCCAAGAGTCGAAGAAACCAGGCCCATTCCTCATAAGTGTAGCGCCGGGGCTTACTCGCTTTGAGATGTCTAGTCACATTCTGTATTTCCGATACAAGCAGTAGGTGAAAATCAATGCCCGAAGGGATTTCCTCTAGCGCAGTATGGAGATATAACACTGTAATTTGGTCCGCGGGCCAGGACGTGCCGTCGGCCCTCCTCTCCGTCGCGTAGTGGTTGTCGTGAGATAGAGATGCCATATTTAACCGACTACAGCCACTGAGATCCAAGTTCTTCGGGTGCAGGGCCTTGAAGACGCCGGTAACTTTTTCGGATGAGTCATTCGCAAGCTCTAGGTCGTGTGTTTGGCAGACTGTAGTGGGAAAGAATTGTCCACATGTGAGATGATAAATGATATGTTTCATATTCCCAGTGAACCCTGTGTCACCGGGTAGAATTGTGATGGTACCCAGTCGTATTGTAGAATCCCGCACAAATTTGACCACAGTATCACCTGCGTTGGATATAAGAACAGTCATTGTTGGTAGCGCCAGGAGTGACCAAAAGACGAAGAAAGATTTGCCGGCATTAGAAATTGGGGTCCGATCACCATAACCAATGGTTGTGAGTGAAACGAAGCAAAAATAAAAGGCGTCAAAGTAAGTCCATGACTGGTATTTCTTTTCACATTGCAGAAAGATAGCAGCACCAGCCAGCCACAACAACAACCAAGACCCAGTTGAAATTGCCATGGCCATCCATCTTCTTCGGGAAGACGCCTGTTTCTGTATACTACGCATCAGGCCAAACTCGGCTTTGCGGCGTTTCAGTTCCGCCGGTGGGTTTTGATCTTGGCGAGAGCCAGATGAGGCGTCCGAGACCTCGTGAACGGGGTTGAGAATGTCATCATTGCCATTGCGAGTAATAGTCTTGACAGTCCTACGGCGGTTTTTTTCCTCCATACGGGCATCTAAACGTCTTTTGCCACGCTCAATAATCATGCTTCGAATGGAGCTGATAACAAGACCAAGGCTAATAACGCCAATGAGGGCATATGGAAACAACAACGCCCGTCCAAGGGTCGTAGAGGCGGCGAGATCCCCAAACCCTACGGTGAATAAGGTCACGTCTGCCCAATAAACCGCATCAAGGTAATTCCAGCCTTCTATGGTTGAGAAGACTAGCGCACCTACAAGGAGGTACATCAAGAGCATGATGGTCTGAAGCATAAGAGTCCGTTGGCTTGGGGTCAGGACAAAGTCCTTGTCGTAGTGACCTGCTGAGGCTCCCCAAAACGTCACAACCATTAGAGACGCATCAACAAAATAGAGGATTGCCGCGTAGATGCCATAATAGAACGCCTGCGACCAAACATATTCGTTGGCTGGATGTAGGCCCTCTTTAAGGGGTCCAGCTGCGGTAGCGTTAAGGGTCACAAGGCAAATAGCGGAAATGTACCTGTACGGTTCTTAGTATCCAACTCGAGCAAAAGTATGAACGGGAAATGATTGGCATTACCATCCTACTATCGTTATCGGCTGGGCAATAGTAAAACGTACTCGCCTCGTCATATTGAGTAAAAGGAATACGTTGGATACTATAGCCATTGCCAACTGAATAGCATTGACTATAGTCAACCTTCAAGTACAGGTTAGCATGGAATAATCGCCTCACACAAATTATTAATTCAACTAACTTACCATGGAGGGTCAAGCTCGAAGCTGGCCTTCTGAATATCCCCGCCAGGTGATATATACTGCCGCCATGGTCGGACCAGGGCACAAATACTGAAGGCCGACGCTACGGGCCCAAGTGTGCCAGCAATCATGGGGAATGCAGATGAAGCAAACCACCAACGGCTGTGAGAAATGTCAAGTTATTAGTCAAAGCTTCTTGAGGAATACGCATTCTCGTGGCCTGTACATGTATGAGAACTCACCTAGGATCCAGATGCGCATCATCATTTTTGAATTGATATGCTGTCAGCAACTCTTTTTCTGCCGTATCGGCATGATGACTGAAGTCCTCCACAGGCTCAACTTCATTCATGGCGGCGGCGTATTTTTCTCGTCTCTTGATATGAGGCGTGGCTTGGTTCTTATATCAAGGCTGTTGGATAACCCGACAATAAATAGCAAAAGAGAGTTGTCACCCATCTGCCTCTCAAATCGGTCGAAGATTATGTTCCCCGACTATCTAAAATAGAAAATAAAATAAGTGTGATCTCTCACGATCGTAGAATGAACGTCATTTGCTATCTTGGAGGCCGTGTGGTTTTGTATGTATACACCAACCCTCATCAATCCAAGGCAAAGCTCGCTAATGTGGTTGTGGCGCACGTTGAATGATGCTTGTATACCTACTGGTTACCATTGCCAGCATGCCGGCATTGCCAGATCTGCAGTAGCAACAATTAGACGTCTCCATGAAAATATGCAGATGAGACTGGCAAAAAAATATGACGTGGGAGGCGAGATGCCGGAATCAACGGACAGATGCTAGCAGGCTTCACGCGATTATTGTCTGTGCGATCAAACCGAAATAACTGGGGAAGCCTTTAATCCGTTTATTGGACAAGAACCCGCCAGAGGATGTCAGCCAGTGCGAAGTCTAATCCCGATGTAGCAAGCAAAATGGTAAAAGCAAGACATCGTCACGACGGCGTGCCAGCCAACCCCATAGTCGCTTGCACACCGATTTTGATACAAGCATCATGTGCTACGCGCGGGTTAGTACTTGTAAGATGATGCGAACGGTCCTCTTAAAACACAACTAAGCGCATAGGTTAGCGCACATGGTGCGTGGGGGTGGATGTGTGGATGAAAAAGCAGGTATCAGTCTAATAAATGTTAGAATAATATGCATGGATGCTTGTCTTGTCATTTCAATCCTGCCAGTCGGTACACGGCATCTATCTGTTACAGCGCAGCTAGATGGCATACAATATCAATTGGGCCGCACAACTAACAAGATATTGACCGTGTGGCTTATCCCTAAACATCTAAGGCGATAATAACATTGTCACAGAAAAAAATCGACGCCGTTTAATATGCTCCAGCTAGGTACGTGCCTCCCATATAAGTATCGATTGGTTATCATATTACAACATGCCCCCATGGTCCGTGTCCTTGTCTGTTCGTCGCCTACCTATCAAGGCTATCATATACAGAAGACTCAGCACACAAAGCCAACAAACAGTCCGCGTGAGGATTGGTTCCGAAGGATATGTCACTGTTGAGTAGGTCCAACAGCAAGAACACCATCCCTATTATGATGGTGAACAACAAACACACCTGGGATAGGTTATTGTAATGAGGACTAATATCATAGCAGTCTCCACAACTTCACAGAGAATCCATCCGCAGATGCACTGATAGTTCACATTCCACCATTTGCGTTCAGGGATGAATCTTCGGTTCGACCTATACCAGGGTTTTTGAGAGATTGGCCGGTCGCTAGTATCAACTATCGCTGGGGGGTCACCTCAACCACCAGCGCGGAGCTTGAAGGGGGGATGTTGTCAAACGGCTACCATGGCCCATCCCAGTTCATGATACGGCATTTGCGTTTCGATGGATCACCGAAAATCTGATGCCGCCAAATAACGGCAGAGGCAACATTATTGTCTACGGATCCTACCTTGGTGCTAGTCTTGCCGCATCATTATCACTCACGGAAACGCGATCGCACAGCAGGTTCAGCATCAGAGGTTTCGCTGCCTACAATGGTATTTACAACTGGACCATGTTCTTGCCTGATCACCAAATCAACATAACCAAAATCTCGCCCAAGTCAGCGACAGTCATGACTACACCATACCAGTCTACACATATGAATAATCTCCAAAAAAGGATAGAGTCGCTCTTCGACACGCCATCGAATCTATTCGACCCATTTGCCAGCCCTAGTCTATTCTTCCATACTCCCGGCATATTAGTGCCCAGTTCATTTTACATGTCAGCAACTGAGGCTGCCATGCTCAATGCCAAGACGGGCTATGAGAAGCTTTTCATCAAGGCATTAAGGCCTCCGCAGCAAGCGCATTTGACATTCCCTCCGGTTGACTCGATGCTGAAAATCCCCCAAGCTCTTCTTCTACACGACTCAATATCGACCAATCCACCACAACGACGGCAGGCCAAACCTGCGAGATATGCAAGGATGGCAGTGGATGCACACAATTTCAGAGCACAGGCAAAAGATCTCTCCACTTTTATGAAACGTAGCATCGATATAATCGAACTAACAGATCAGGGGGAATGGGACGATGACGTTGAACAGTTGGCGGGAGAGGCACACGGAAGAGTTCAAGTAGCAGACGTGGGCCAGGAAAGAAAGGATTTGGACCTGAGCGAAGCTGGGCAGAATATTCTGTTGAGTTGGATACGAGATAGAATATGAGATTCAAGATATCAGACATGTCAAATGTCCAACATCTGCGATCGAACTCGCCGTGAATACCTATTGAGCCCACAACAGTCGCATGATGTTCTACTAACTCTGTATCCCGTATACTGAACGTGGTTATATGCAAAGACGTAAGAAGGATCAAGAGAAAGATAAATAAATAATAAAGCAAGAATGCTATTGTTTCTTCCGACAGTGCATACAAAACGTTACCATTCGACTACATCGTGTCATCCCATTCATTACGTCCTGTAACAACTAACCTGTATATACGTAAATATCCGGTCCCTTCTTCAACAAAATCCATCCAACCGACCGCATGGTCTAGTGGTATGATTCGTGCTTTGGGCTCATCTACGATAGCGCATATGCACGAGGCCCCGTGTTCGATCCACGGTGCGGTCCGCTGAATTGGGTTTTTTTGGCATGTTTTTTGCATTTTTCTTGCATGGTTGTGTATCTTTTTGGTATTTTGACAAAGACATGACTATTTTGATTGAGTTTGGATGGTGGTGGTGGTGTGGTGTGGTGTGGTGGTAATCGGGGCAGCTAGAAATACCCCATCGTATGTTAGTGAAATGCCAAGTAATGACGAAGTGGGTGGGGTCCGTTTCCAACGTCAGGATATCTGCTAGTCAACAATTTAAGCACATGGAAATGCTTCTTCTACTGTATTGGCAATTGAGTTTATGCAGATAGGGTGTAGTTAGTACTTGCGATAACACACCATAGAATGCAATGCCAATGCCTACCTACTAAGTAGTACTTAGTCCCATGCATCGTTTCAATACTTTTCTTTATGTCACTGCCATTGAGTTTGCCCCCCTCCCCCACCATCTAGCTGAAACAAGGGTCAGATTAAGCTATGCAATAAACTCACAGGGGCCAGGCGGAACGGCGGCCCACCAAACACGTTTTTCCCCAGATATAATAAACTAGGGGTACCTTGGTATTAGACGGGCTACAAGTATAGTAGGTACTACAGTAGGTACCAAGGTACGGAGTATATAGTGTACACATTCGGAGCGCTGGCTGTTTGTTCCAGCTCGACTTTCTTCTCCTCTTTTTTAATACATTTACTGTTGCGGAAAACCACACCTACGCGCTCTCCTTCTCTGGGTAAATATTCTCCTGTCTCATTACCTATGCTATAACACCCTTCACAAGATACACAGATTGGTCGTGTCTCGAGCTGACAGCAACTACGTAGATACTCAGCAAACTATCACCGCTCTTGGACCACACTTACCAAGAACAAATCAAGTGCATTAAAAATGCCTGGCATACGTTGGTCTCCCAGTCTCCCCAATCCTTTCACCCCCTTTTCATCCCTGTCCTCGCCATCTAACAGACCAAATCTGTAGCTCTTGATGCTCTGGACAATCTCAAGGCAAAGCTAAAGGCTGCCTTTAGAAGGAAGCCTGAGCCGCCAAAGGATGAACCCAAGGAATCAGCTGTGTCCGACGATTCCAAGGCCACCGATGTCGCTCCTACTGAGGTAAAGCCTGCCGACGAGCCCAGCAAAGGGGTGGAGACGACTCCAGCTCCCGCCCCAGAGTGTAAGTTGAATTAAAGTATCCCTTTGCGTGTGAAGCAGCATCTAATCCCGCGACAGCCCAGCCGCCCACCCTAGTGGACTCCAAACTGGCCGAGACAAAACCAGAGGAGCCCAAGCCTGAGTCCCAGCCTGAGCCTGAGCCCGAGGTCGTGGAGCCCAAGCCTCCTACTACCACAGAGCCGACTCCCGCCGGTAAGTGACCAATTACAAGGCATCCCCAGGCATATTGTGTAGGGGGCGAGAACTGATGAGCCCTCTACTATAGCTACAGAGGCCGCAAAGTCGCCGCTGGTGGAATCTACTGACCAGCCCGCCCCACCAACAACAACAGAGACACCAGCAGAGGCAAAACCAGAGCCCACGCCCGCTGCTGCTGCTGCTGCTGCTGCTACTACTACGACTTGAAACCAACACCATCCCAGTCGCCACATCCCCACCCCCCGCGCAACATAATGGCCACATTGAATATTTGACCTCAGGGTCTCCACTACAGTCCCTTTCGTAACGCGTTCTCGCTGCTGCTCGGTTAGCTACCTTGGATAGTGCCATAACTTTGCCTATTTAAAATATTATACCCTTCCTGCCCCTCTATTTTCTAATTGTGAACGTGAACCAAAGTATATAGTGGCAGACTGTCACGATGATTAAGAATATGGGCCAGATTTTACATCAGATGGGAGTATGGAAAGTCACACAAACGCCATTGGTCGAATTCTGCAACATTCATTTGACTCATCATGTCTCCATTAATAAGCTCCGTTATATAGCTGATATTGCGGCGGCAACCTCATCTTGCGGGAGATGGGGCACTCGATTTTGGTAAAGAACCTCTTAAATACAATGTATCAGCGCCGGTTGGTCTTTGACTTCCTGCTACCTGAGCCCATGGCGCCTGAGTACCAATCCCCAGAGTAGAAACAGTGGTAGTTGGTGTCATCTTTGTCATATTAGCGTCCTTTGCGAAATTCGGTGCTCGTGGATCCTCATCCCACGAAAAGAGTGATCCAAAAGGGAAATGTTGGACTACAGGGAACTTGGATAAAACCTCTGCTTGAAACATCTTGATCATGCCTTTGTTAATCTTACCCCATCCATCACGAATCCCCGAGATATCGAATAGCATTGGACTATGCTCCCAGAATGGACCTTTTTTGACATCATAGATGAAGCCAATAGCTGAAAAGTACATGTTGGTCTGCCTTTGATCCTCAACAATGTCGGCATTAGTAACGTCACTCGGTTTTGGCGCCCCTCTGACGGAGCCCTCTGTGGGCATTGCTTCGCTTGATGCAATGGGACGTGTAAGCTGTGCGGACCCAAAGATATAAGGCACAAATGAATGGTCGTCGAGACCCCAGACACCATGAGAACCAGCAGGCTCTAATGTGTACGTCATGATGAGTTTTCTCACCAGTTCAAGATACCTAAATCTGTTAGGAATCCATACGAGATCGACGACTAACATGACTCACGGCTCAATGACTGATAGCACAATCTCTCTCTCAATATCCCCTCCCTGTACTCCGTCTGTAAAAAACCCCAGCTTCCAAAGGCAGCCGAGGAAAGCTATAAAACTTAGCTCATGTCCGGTTCCGTAGTCAAGTCTTTGCGGGCTTCCGAATGCTCCAAGAAGGTAACTGGCAACTTCATCCTTGGCGGCATCAGCTATGCTGAGCGTTTCTCCCAGCTGATCGCGTTGTAAGAAGCCATCAAGCCTCTTAGCTAACAACGCATGCCATTTGCGGAAGCTCACGTTCCCAAATCTTTGTGGGCCGGGGTCTGGCGGCGCTTCATCTATCAAGTTTTGTATCCGTGAAATGAGGGCCCGAATGGTTAGGATTGAAGGCGTTGAAGGCGGTTTAGTAGAGAGGGGGTAAAGGGATGGATGAGGGGCGCCAAGGAAGATTCGGGGGCATAGGGCATAATTAAGTTGAAGTATGAAGATGCCAAGATCACGATAGGCTAGGCTGGTGAGAAAACGGGAAACATGCTGAGTCTCATGAATACGCTTGGTTGGTATCGAAAATGAATGTGAGGATGGAAAATCAAGAAGCGCAAGAGTTGCTGTATTTGCGGCGGTGGTTTGGACGGCAGCCATTTTCTGTAAACAATGGGATGAAACCTAGGTTATGATGTGCAATGATGAAGGTCGGTTTCGCCCAGGTTTACTTATGTTCATTGGTGTGAGATGTGGCTATGAGGTGTTACTAAGCAGGCAGCTGTTCTGTGGAAACATTATATCATCTACCCGGCACCTAAGACATGCTTTATCGCTACCTAGGTACCCTAGTGGTTGGTATGCTTTGATATCTAATCGTGTTTGGTATCCATGCCTAGGTAATGGTGACTGACCAAGTTGATAGAACTTGAGTGTAACATGAATAATAAGTTACATAGACTACCTCCTACCTATACAGGTACTAAAGATAGGCAGGTGCTAATACCCCTCCTCATGAATGCTGTTACAACCAAAAAAATACAAAGAGGTGGGGTGATTCAAATTCGCAAATACTACTACTTGTAGGTAATCCACTCACCTAGATCCAGTAGCCTCAGTAGGTACCCCCAAGTAAGGCACCTGGAGTGCTTGCAGTGCCAGATGGCACTGATTTTATCTCCCCTCTTCTCTTCACTGCTAAATTTTTTTCTCTCAAGGAAGCTCTTCAAGTCTAGTGTGACGATAGCTTGACCAAGTAGTGTCCAAAAAAAAAAAAATTCGCTACCTATACTTTTGTTGATTTAGAAGCTTGGAAGGGAAGGGTACCGTGGTATCTTGTCTTGGATTGAGCCCCCCTTTTACCCACATCTCTTAATTGGAGATAGTACCAAGCAATTAAAGATACCTAATAACAGCACCAGGTACGTGGCGCGTCGTGATTTCAGTGCTTGGTGCAGGTACCATTCTGTCTTGGTTCGTGTCGAAGTGCCCCTTTAACCTCAACATTTCCTGGGAGTTATACTCATTTGGACGTCAACCCCTATGTGCTGAGATAATTGCCAGGAGAATCGCTTGCCTCCGCGGATACCCCTGTTTAATAGCTCCCCAAAACTTCTTTCGTATTTCACCTCTGCTCCCTGTTTTCCAAGCAAACGACTGGACTGGTGTGCCGACGAGCAAAGGCGACAAGATAAACAAGGTGCCTACGCATCAAGTTTTTCAAATCACACACATACAAGTCTTCCAGTGTACGCAAAAATTCTGTGACTTCCTTTCTGAATTTTGCAACTGATTGCACCCCACAGAACGGCCTACAACATATCGCAACCATGTCTGAAAGCGAGCCACCCGCCGTCATTCCCAATGCAGTCACTGCAGCTACACCGGAGCCAGTTGAGAGGCCTACCAAGGATGCCGCCGGACCCAGCACCCCGTCAGTAGCCAAGCGTTCGCCTGGAGCGACAGGGACAGCAGCAGCGCGCCGTTCCGGAGCCGGAATTGCTGGCACTGCATCAAAGTCCACCACTGCCCTTAGTGCTCGAGCTCCAGGAGGCATGAGCAAGCCGCCAACGCGTCCACCAGCTTCGACTGTCCGTCGACCTGCCACATCTGCCTCGACCTCTAGTCACCAAAGCCAGCCTAGTGTGAGTGCAAGCGAAGACGAAAAAAGTCAGGTACTAAACCGACAACAACTTCCGCAGCTGCACGGAGAGTGAGCTCAATTAAGTCGAGTCCTGGTGGTGGTACAGACAAGAAAACTGGAACCGTCACAACATCTTCGACGGTACGCAAGCCGGTGACAGCTACCAGTACTACGGCGAGCCCAAGGACGAGTGGTATTGTTGCAAGATCAGGGGCCACAAGCACAAGCACAGCGGGAACTAGAGTTGCGACTGCCCGCCCAGGAAG